CGAAACAGGTTTTGCAGTGGTTAACATAAATGAAAACTGACATTTGAGGGAGAACTGGTCTTAATTTTAACCCCTATTACATTATTAAAGGTGGCTGTGCTGTGATAATTCCATCCAGTATTCCAATTTCAGAAGTTTCAGAAATAGCCATCGGCGCACGGGCAGACAAATACATACAAACGTATGGAGCGAATGAACGATGTCATTTTTATATTGTTTTAATGTAGTAACGTATATATCATAAATATGATTGTTTTGATTAATAATGTAAATATATAGATATAAATTATTTTTAAGGTTTGCTTAGAATAAGCTGGTTAATTTTTTCGTTTTGTAAATGTAAATAAATCAATTGATTTTTAATATATATATATATATATATATATATATATATATATATATATATATATATATATCAATTCGGTAACCGTCCGTCTTTTATAGGATGTACTACGGGGAGTGTGCTCGGGAGTGTACAAAACACATATATTTGTTAATGTCTTTTTACGTGTAAATGCCACGAATGTGTCATTGGTGGTATTATGTTAACGCGAATATACCATAGATTAAAAAAAAGAAACTGAAGCTAGCAAAATCATACACGAACGTTGCATAACTCACTAAGCCTAATTAAGTGCTTAGTAAGCCACAGAGTTCATTGGTGTTTTCTAACATTACAGTTTGGTTTAACGACAAATCTGCTTAAGCTATTCTTCATTTTAAGTGATTTCTAGCTTAGCTATGCCTTGTTCTATGTTAGTGAAAATAGGCATTAAATATATAATAACATTTTATAGCACTTACCGTCTTTGCCTCAAAAATATACCCTGTATATATAGAGAATGATTTTATTAGACAGAGCATATTTAATTAAAATATTACTTCGATATAATTAAAAGGAAATAATAAATTTTGAAGAGTGAATTTAAACATACAGTTTATTAAGCAGCCCGAAGGGATATGAGATTAAAATTACGCAGCGAAAAGTCCTCAGGAATCTAAATATTCAATGTTCAATTTGATAATTCGATGCTTTATACATTTAATTACGAAACTTTAGTCTAGACGTCGGTATGAAGTATTGAACAAAGATTCAATATCGTGTTTGTAAAGCTTACATTTGCTGAGTATTCAGGTGTTATTAGATATTCGGTTTTATCGCCTAATTTGAGCTTCTCTTCATTTACTTAATTACACGTCAGAATAGCACGGTTCAAATGCAGATTATTTTAATTGTATTTGTAGTTGCTTCTTCATATAGCTTCTCACACTGGATTTGCACTCCCCACACTTCCATGCCGGTGCCGCCTAAATCTCTAGCCATAGTTAACGATGTTATGATGATATTCACTTAACTTCTTTGACACTATCTTTATTAACAACGAACGAATGCTAAAGCAAAAGGATCATGAAGTTGATAGCAGTGTGACCAACTTAAATCATATAATCCAAATTTATTCACCATAAGGTAGGTATATCAAAGTAAATTGAAAGGAACTAGCTGTATAATATCACTACGATAACAACATACGCTATGGCTAGGCTATAGCTAAAGGAGATTGGCGGTCGCTCTGCAGGGATGCAACTGTATAATTCATATATAATAAGGGTAAATAAATAAAAAAATAATAATATGAATTTAGAGAAGCCTATTCCAAAAATTGGAATATTCTTATAAAACAAAATGTTTGATTCAATATATAAAAAAAACATCCTTTCAAAAGAATAGATATAAGATATTAATTGTTAAATTGAATAAATCGTTCTTATCGCAATCGTTACAGCTAGTGATCGCAGAACTGCATTGCTATTCTGTAAAACAAGCGTCGAATACAGCGTTGAACACAGTATTGATGCTCAATAAAATAAAACGTATACTTAACTTTTGAATGAACCTCTAAGTTGTGACAGAGCTCTGCTCGACATTAACGTCGAACTCTAGTTCGATGCAATTTTTTTTTTCATATTATGTATTCATATTCATTTATTTGTTCATACACATGGGTACAATACAGTGGTGTAACAAAGAAAACAAAAGCTCAGCCATAATTCACCTCAGTTTGTAAAATTGTAAAAATGTCAGATATCAATTAAATTAAATGTCAATTAAATAAAATGTCAATTAAAAAATTAAGTAATTATTACATTTTTATTAATTCTTATTACTTAACAGAATTCTAAATTACTGGGCTTCTTTCTTTTTAGTTTTTATTTAATTTTTGAAAATTCGTTTTTTACGCATTAGAGTTTTTTGTTTTTCTTTAAGTTATTTATTTTTATTTTATACTTTTTAGTTACGATTCGTTGACTTCGTTATAAGATGGTATATTTCGCAATCAAGTCATTTCATTGAGGGAGTTAATATCGTGGGGATTATTAAGTAGCTTGTGGTGGTCTAAACTACTAATGATTAGTCCCTCTAGAGACCTAACTCGGCTCAAAGCTACATATGCTTGACCTTTAGCAAAAATGCTTGAACTTAAGTCAACCACAGCTCGGGCCGGTAGTTCTTTGGAATTTGTGTACAGTTACACCCCAAGACAATATTAATGGCAACATTTTTCGCTCTATTTTACCCTGTCCGCGAAGTGCATCGAATTCTGTCGTAGAAAGTTATTTTTTTACCAGAATATTTGTTCTTCATGCTTTATCACTGTTTTTTTTTTGTTTGTATATCGTTTATACTTAAAATAAAAACTATAATCAATAAGTAAGAATAAGCGAGAACGATTGTTTTGTTAAACAACTTTAAATCGTTATATATCCTATACTATTATTTAAAATGAAAAATGATAAAACGAACCTAAAGATGATTTTAAAATACCTATTCAACGACACCCCACTTGACATAGCTCATCGACTTTTTTTTTCATTTTGACAATATGGCGTCTGGTTGTCGCTGTGGTGAGTTTTGATTACTGTCATGTCTTTAGTGACACTCTCAAAGTTAAGACGAATCGATTGACGTAATAATCATCAAAATCGGCCTAGAATTTGGTCTCTAGAACGCCACATAGAAACAAACATACATATTTAGACTGATAATAAACACATTACCCTCCTTTGCGTCGCGCAGTCGCTTAAAAAGGAATTATTATAGCTTAATTTTAAGGTTACTTATGTTCTCTTAGTTACATACGGAATTAAAACTGTATTCATATTCATTTTTGTTTTGATATTTATTTTTTGAGAAAAAGTTGCATGAGGAAGTTTGTATTCTTTACTTAGCAACATTTCAGAAAAATACAAAGGACAGCAAAAAACCAGGCTTACAAATAAGTTATACTAGCTGAATCTTATATCTAACCGAGATTCGTTGGTTATAATAAATAACAAGTATTATTATTGTAATTAATTAGACTCTTTTTCTTTTTTAAAGAAAATGCAAAAGAATACAATTTTTCGGAACCTCAAATTTTGAATTATTCAATCAACAGTTTCGTAGAAGCTCGTTCTTTGAAACTTATTCCATTATGGGCATAATACTTATTGATAAATTTTATTACTTAAATAAATTATAACAAAGCGCTGGCAATTACTTTAGTTAATTCCAGTTATTTCTCGCTTGTTTTATAAAACATAACTCGCTACCGCAAATCCAATTAATTTGAATGATCCTAAAACTTATTCTATGTTTATGATGTCTGAAATTTCGTGTTAAGAGTTGTGAGTTTATCGCCTTTATATTACTATAATATATTTAAAGTTTAAAACGTGAATGTTAATGATTTAATGATTTAATCTTAGATATTTAAAAATAAAAAATGATTCAAGAGGAATATTTTCGCGGATGCCGCTGAAAGCTAGTTAAATAATAACTATAGATAATTTTAATATAGAGTTACTTTAATACATATATATATTCGATGTTCTATAATAATTTTTCATAATTAAATAAATTGTTGTTGTAACTTACGAAATAAAATATTTTGTAACTTGTGGTAAAATAGTAAGCATAAAAACTGCTGAATAAATTAAGTAAAATTCTGTGGTGATCGGCCGAAATTCTGCCACAAAGGGAATCCCAACACGCATTCATTCACGATGGCTACAGGAACTTTCTTACTTTTATTTTGGTTTCTTGTTTAAAAAAAAATCATTTGTATTAATACAAATAAAACAATTTATTATTAAACTTTAAAATAACGGTGACGTGTGCTCTTTAGTGTTTATTTTGTTCCATTGACCACACTATTATTCAGCTATTGTCAACACTATTGTTACGATACGCAAAATATAATTAGTGTACAGATTTAAAAAAGTCCTAATTGTAATTAGGACTTTTTTTCTAAAACTTTTTTCGGCTTATTAATTAATTCGTTATGAATAATGTTGAAGAAAATTATTGCAATACACTCTTCCTTTTGCCATGCTTTTGTTATTTGTAACTCATCATCATCAGCCTAATTATGTTTCCACTACTGGGACACAGGTCTTCCATATGGATGGAATCGAATAAGGAGAAAGGGTCATGAACCACCACGCACCCCAGTGCGGATTGGAGAGTGTTAATAACTGCAAATGCAGCCGGGAGCAATGGCATAACGTGCCTTCCGAAGCACGGACGAACTTGTAGAAGGAGGATATTATATTACTAACAGTATATCTTTCACCACGAGTGTCCAGCAATCAGAACAACTGAGCTGACCTTAGTAATCTTATAAGGAAAAACAACGTATATTTCATTATTAAATCAACGATACGATTGTTTGTTCCAATTCAAAGAACTACCTTACTAAGTTCCTAATATTTACGATCGTATTTGTAAATACAAATGGCTAGTCCGACATTTTTATAGCATCAAAGGGCCAGGTATCCAGTACTTTATAACGCATACAGAAGGTTCAATTTACTTTATTAAAGCGTAACCTTTATTTAGTATTCCAGTTTTTTATTTGTGTTTTCATCCATTGCGAAAAGAGGGTGGAATTTTTCCAATGTTTAGCTTTCCTAGTACAGAGTACTCACTGTATTAATCTGTTATTTTTCGATTGTTACAGGTGGCAGCAAACGCGCTACTAGATTGACAGTTGCAACTGCAATAGGTATCTGGATACTGGCAGCATTATTGGCCACACCAGCGTACGTTGGCTCGTACTTGAGAGCTTTCGTGGTCAATCCAACTACACAGGTACCACATTTTGTTATAACGAATTATGTAAATAACTATTTATCTACTTTAATTGACTTCGGATCCCTCGTTATTTTTTCATCAGCACTTGATCGATTTAATAATGAAATGATTGTTCTGTTTATTATTCTAGCTGTTTACGTGATTTCGTCCGCATGGTATAGTAACTTTCGGTAGGATCTTTAATTTGTAGGGTTCTGTACTAAAAGGGTAAAACGACATCCCTGTTACCGTGACTTGGCTGTCTGTCTGTCACCGGGCTGTGTCACATGAACCAAAAAAATTAGACTGAATTTTCGCGAAAAAATGTTGAATTTTTTGCAAATGATGTACTTCTATTGCCACTTCAACAACAATAGAATAAAATAAATATTTAAGAGGTCTCCCATACAACAAACGTAATTTTTTGCTGTTACCACCATACGGCTGTATCTTACCCTGATAGTTATACAGTCGAGATTTTTACAGATGATGTAGTTATGTTACCGCTATAACGAACAAAAAAAACGGAATAAAATAAATATTTATGGGAGCCCATACAACAAACGTTATTTTTTTATACGTTTTCGGTACGGAACCGTTCGTGTTATTGGTAAAACTGCAAAATTTAATACTAAAGCTACTTTGTTTGATAAAAATCGGAAAATATGGACTACACACATAACAAAAATCAAAATCTCGTTTTAAAATTACAGTAGCGTCATCTAGTGCTCAGTAGAGTCAGCGAAATGTAACATTTTCGTGTACTTAACCAATATAACATTCATTTAATATTGTATCGATTAAAATTATTCAAAACATTATTTAATCCTGCGTAAACAGCTTTAATAATTTAATAATGGATTTAGAAAAGGATGACATGAAATAAAATTAAAATGACAAATTGAATTATAAACGACGGTTACTCCATAGTTACTATGAGACAAAATTTTTATTTTATTATGCTAGTGCTTCAAGAGTCTTTGGCATAATTAAACCTTATTCGAATGCTGCAATCAAAATTTTTATAAAATAGTAATATTAAATAGAATGGAAACAATAAAGAAAGTTATTTGTATATGTTTAAATTTCAAATTTTCTCTCAAACTGTGCCTTGATAATAGGTTATTAAATGAATCAAAGTTAATAATCAAACCTTGACTGAAACAAGTAAGTATAGACCTCCAAGCAGTTTATTAAATATTCAAATTTTCATTAAGTATATTTATAATACAATCAGAAACAAGTAATGGGAAATCGGGAAGCTTACTTAACAAGTACAAGGAAGTAACCAGAAAAAACAGTACCTAAGAAAAAGAACTATTCCTGGAAACTTTATTAAGAAAAATGCGATAAACTTCGTCTTAACAGGATCATTTCTCAAGACAAAGCCTGGAATTGATATTGATTACAAACATTTATACTTGGGAAAGTACAACACTTAACTATTGGCGTTGGGTCAGTCATTCTAATAAAAAACTTTCAGTTACGTATTTGTAATTTTTGCTCTATCCCGCTTGTTTTCTAAATTATGAATCATATAAATTCATATTTTCGTCTTACAATATGTAATACTTACTTAACAAATGCGCTTGTTAAAAACATTGAAAATAATACTCGACTGCGTTATGCGATGAACGAGTTCATAAAACGTCTCAAAAAGCCGCCAGGCTTTCCATTTTTATTTTGAGTGATTGATAATAATTATTTATTTTTCTCATAACTCATAATATTGGTATAAAAAGAAAGGTCAAGACTGATTGTTTGAAATAACTGTCGGCCATATGGGATAGTCCGCCATATTGGATTTTGAACGAAGTGATTTATTATTTTGTACATCTTTAGCAAACCGTTTCATTTGATACCCATATTATCACTGAGTAAAAATAAATAACCAACCATCTCACTCATAAAACGTCCGCCATCTTAGATTCTAGTTAATCATGTATTATCATTTAAGCTGTAAAATTTCAGCTAGTTCAAAATTCAGCTGCAAGATTTTACGAACAACTAATATAACAAGCCTATTAAAAGTTTGTAAAGCAGATATTGTATATTTTATAAATTATTCTTTTCTAACTGATGTTATAAACTTTTAATTGTCAAATGAAATCCTTTATTTGAAGAATACACGTTCTGTTCACAGTTCTGTTAAAAATGAACGTAAATATCGCGAAAAACTAGTGTGGGCATATTTTACTATTGGCATAATTTTCTAAATTAAACAAATCCAAAAATTTTGAAATCTTCTTTATTACGGGTCCAGTTTAATTTAGTTTAGTAGATTGAGTAGTGCATGTAAAAATGGACTATTTGAAAAAGGCATTTTTTATATTTATCATCACTACACAGTGTAAAACAAAATCACTTTCTTTGTTCATATATCCCTATGTATACTTAAATTATTAAAACTACGCAACGGCTTTTGATGAGGAAGGTTTTTATGGATACTACAAGACCACGCGGGCGAAGCCGCTGGTGGAAAGCTAGTCTAGGTATAAAGAAATGGTGTAGAAAAAAAAAAGAAAAACGAATAATAGACAAAAAAAATATTATTTAAACAAACGTATTAATGTGTACCAGTGTGTTTTACGTATAATATACAAATAATATATTTTTACGTAAATTGTGCTGATTTCTCCGTTTTACAATTTATATGGAGTGTTAAATGCAATTTTTTTATAATTACATTATTGAAAATAAATTAATTAATAAGAAAATAGTAAACACACTACTATGAAATACATTATTATTTCAATACCAATAATATTAACGAAAAGTGGTATTTCACTAAATAACCTCGACATTTAAAAATAATTACCGATTATGCCTCCGTAAATAAATTATCCCGTACAGCAAAAACGGTATGTTACCTATGAGAGGAGCAAGGAGCATTCCAGGGACCATTGAACCGAGCCCCAAAATATTCTATAAATTCTTTACTTTGTACAAAATTCTTTTCGGTAATGACATTACAATGACTGGACTTAACGCCATCGTATAAAGGACAACAAATTCTTAATTATTTTAAATCCTTTTCAAATCCACTAAAATAGACAATTTTTATCTAGTACAGTTTTTTGAATTCTTGAAGAACTTGAAGATAATGAATAATAAATCACTTTGTAGCAAAGTCTTCAAGTCAAGCCAAGTTCTGAATTCTTAAACAGTTTTTGAACAGTGGAACATATTGCAAGCGATAGTTTCGTTCGATTTATATAAGAAGTTTGACCTTGTAAATAAGCAACTCGACGCGAATTTCAAAAGTTCTTTTTTCTCTCCCGTGTCAAACGATACATGGCTGAACAGGTTAACGTTATCTATTAGTTTCAATAAATTTACTAACGCGTGCTACGATATTTTGCGAGTTGTATAAAACCTTGCTTATTTTCAGCTGTAGATACTGAAGTGTAGTTAAGTGAAATCTTTGAAAAAATAATTCTTGAGCAGTTATTTTCTCACTTTAATTTAAATTAATTACTGCATACTAAACATTTTTTTTGAAGAACAGATTGAACAGATTAAAAAAAAAAAAAAAATAAATAAAAAAATTTAATGTAATAACTTGGCCGGTGCTCGTTGTTGTAGAGAACTCACCAGCTTCAAGCCGAGAAATCTTAGGAGGAGAAATAATAATAGTTAATTTTACATGAATGTGGTACAGTAAAGTTCTTATTTAAGTAACAGGGTTTCTATCGACACATTCACCCAATTATGGGCATGCAAAGAGATTAATATTTATTTTAAACTGAAATCAATTATATTCAAATGATAATTAGTAACACATAACAATCATAATCAAATAAAAAACGTCCAAGTAACATATATTAATTTCAACTTGATAAACAAAAACTGCTTGGTGTTAGACTTATTTTTATGTATATTAAATTATTTATCGGTGAGTAATATATATATATCAGTTTTATATATATATCAGTTTTTATTCTAAAAATAATTTGCACGAGTAAGCCGCCAAAGTTTAAGGGTATATTATAAATATGAAACAAGGCTTAGTTGCATAAACATCCGTTAAAATTGTCATTAGTTTAAAGCGACATTACCGTTATAAATATTCAAATTAAGAGCATTAATTTGAACTTAAAGTCATCGTGAACCTTTAATGGACGTTTGGGCCCATGAACATTAGATTACTTTGACCTGCAAGTAAAAATTAAAAATACAAATATATTTTCTGTCGACAGTTCTTGGTCTGCTACCCTTATCCGCCAGGATGGGGCGAGGGCTATCCACGCCTGATGGTGCTGATGCGATTCTTAATATACTACTCACTACCTTTGGCTGTCATCGCTCTTTTCTACGTGCTGATGGCCAGGCACCTCGTACTTAGCACGCAAAACGTACCGGGAGAAATGCAAGGCACTCAAAGACAGGTAATATTCACTTCTTAGTTCATTAATTTTATTTCATCTTATAATTTCTTTAATCAATACATTGAAACGGAACCGCTCAAATAAATGAAAAAAATCTGGAAATTATAAACGTCCAAATCCATAAATACCTAAATACATTATTTAATATTTTCCGTTCCAATTAATAATGTATAATATCTAATAGTGTTAATAAACAAACTTCAATAATTTTATTGACGACAAATAAAACTTACCAATAAATTGTTATTGAATAATTCTTGATAAGATATTATCCTAGAGAAGTTTTAGCAAAAAATCTAAAATCAATTAATCATATAAAAATTTACTATATTTACCACTCATACACATTAACAGTAATTATGAGTCGTCCTTCTATATTCTCTGGCAATATTAAACATCGACAAAATGCAACAAATAACTTCTTTAGCAGGAGCATTCATTCTGATTCTGAACAAGTAAGTTCAAATACTACAGTAACAAATAAGGGTATCAAACAAGAAGGAACATGATGAGAAATTCCAATAGAATTTCGAGAAGGTCTCTCACCATACATAGGATAAGAAGAAGCTAACAAGCCAACTTTAATTAAACTGAGTGTGGTAAGGAGCTCAGTTGAAAGCAACTTTGACGCTAACAATCTAATTAAAGTAGAGTGGGTTTATCCTTTATCAGTCTTAAGACAATTAGAAAAACGTTATTTTTAGATCAGTTGTCTATTTTGTACAGCATACTACACATCAGGCAATACAAAACTGTCAATCATATAATAATATGTAACATTGAAAATATTGTAAACAAATAAATGTATGTAGATAGAGATTATACTGGATATAAATATATAACAGAAAGTAATATAAAAATTAAATATAGAAAGGGAAAATAATAAATGTATGAAAAATAGTTAAAAAAGGAAAAGAGTGAAAGAACCATCCCGCAAAACAAAGTAAAATATATATATATATATACACATAGATAGCAAATTTACAAGTACTTAACAGGCCTCTTACAGCAGGGAAATCTAGTTTAATATAATTTTTAAAACTTATAAAATTCAAAATCGCTTGCTATAATTTATGACATTTGTGATAGCCTGGTATTTTATTGTGTGTACTTGATTTGTGCACTCAACTATACACTCAATAATACAGGATGTAATCAAACTACATATTTATGTGAATAACTGATTTAAGAATTCACTACGAACATAATAATAAGTGTTGTCATGGATGATTATGTTGTTACAGATGCGAGCTCGTAGGAAGGTGGCTGTCACAGTACTGGCATTTGTACTAGTATTCGCGGCATGCTTTCTACCCTCCCATGTTTTTATGATGTGGTTCTATTATTGGTGAGTTTAGCACAATAACCCATACTGATTTATTTATAAATAACTGATCTTTGTTCGATTTCTATAATTTTTACTTCAATTAACATTTTAAATATATATTTAGCCAGATCTATGGCGGAGGCCTGTGCTCTGTTGAAGGCGTCTTATGGCTGGCTATTGATCATTATAATGATGATAAGTTAGTCAAGCCCAGAATCTCATTAAAATAAAAGAATTAACTTAAATAAAAACTGAAAAGAAAGAAACAAGACAGTAGTTTAGAATTCTGTTAAGTAATACAGAACAGAACGATTCATAGACGGGGCCCTTTGGGATGATTTGACTGGTAAAATTTGAATGGGCCCCGACTATGAGTCGTTCTGTTCTGTATTACTTAACAGAATTCTAAACTACTGGGTTTGATTCTTTCTTTTTAGTTTTTATTTAAGTTAATTCTTTCATGTATTTTTTAAATTCGTTTTTATGCAGTCGGGATTTTTGTTTTTTTTTTAATTATTTATTTTTACGGTTTAGTTACGATTCGTTGACTTCGTTATAAGATGGTAAATTTTGCAATCTAGTCATTTCATTGAGGGAGTTAATATCGTGGGGATTATCAAGTAACATGCGGTGGTCTAAACTACTGAAGATTAGTCCCTCTAGAGACCTGACTCGGCTCAAAGCTACATATGCTTTATTTTTTACCAACAATATTTGTTCTTCATGCTTTTTCACTGTTTTTTTTTTTGTTTATATATCGTTTATACTTTAAATAAAAACTTTAATCAATAAGTAAGAAAATTAGCGAGAATATTTTGTTAAACAACTTTATGATTTTAAAATACCTTTTCAACGACACCCCAATTGACATAGTTCATCGATTTTTATTTTTTTCATTTAGACAATATGGCGTCTGGTTGTCGCTGTGGTGAATTATGATTACTGTCATGTCCTTAGTGACACTCGCAAGGTTAAGACGAATCGATTGACGTAAGAATCATCAAAATCGGCCTACGCATTTGGTCTCTAGAACGCCACATAGAAACAAACATACATACATAGACTGATAAACACATTACCCTCCTTTGCGTCACGCATTCGGGTAAAAATCAACAAATTTAAATTTAATTAAGTTTTTATCTTTTTGACTTGACAGTATATGATTTAAAAACAAAACAGATTACTGTTTTTTACTTAGAGTCGAAGTGATGGAAATGAAAGGGATTTCGAAATAATGCATCCTTTAACAACTATAAGCTAAACAATTTCCATGAGGTTGACTCACGCTACTTCTGTAACTACAACTTCTGTAAACATAAACAATTTATCGTCACTTGTTCCCATTCACTCGTGTCATTTAATTATACCTAATATTATTTATTTCAAATGAGTAACAAGAATGTTCATATGAATGTTGTGTAATGAGCTTGTAGGCTGGTGGTGCTGTCCAAAAACTCTCGTTTTATGATACGTCCCAATTGCAGAGGCTCAGGCCTATACATAACAATCCACGCTGGCCCATTGCAGATTATTGATTATTAACGACTGCAAACGTATCCAGGACCAACGGCTTATGAGCTTTCCGAAGCATGGAGTACCTCGGGATAATATTTTTTTACATCTCTCATATTCGATAAGTAGGTCCTTATTTCCCCCAAATGGAGCTTGTAGGTGACCAATGAGCGATCTAGGGTAATAATGTAGCTAGAAAAGCCCTAGGGCGGTAAGTAAATAAAAAAAACACGTCACTCTTTCAAAAACTTCGCGTACATCTAACCATCAAACTGGTAATAGACATCATGCATTCAGCCTAATGACCTCTTCGCTATTAAGCCTTGTCTTTGTACGAGGGTCAAACTGAAAGTTCTTAGAAAATCAAAAACTGATTACATTAGCCAGTTATTAGTTTTATTATATCTTTTCAAAATATTGTCCATTCACGTCAATACACCGCTGCATGCGATGGAACCACTGGGAAAAGCACTTTGCCCACTCGTCCTTAGGGGTCTCTTCAATGGCATCGCGATACGCAGCCACCGCTTCTTCAGCATTCATAAACCGCTTTCCTTTAAGTTTTTCTTTAATTTTTGGAAATAAATAAAAATCACAAGGCGCGAGGTCGGGGCTATACGGCGGGTGACCCAGTAATTCAACGTTTGATGTCGCCAAATAGTCGATCGTTCGCTTGGCGGTGTGCGACGAGGCGTTGTCGTGGTGAAGGAGGATCCTACTGCGAGGTCGTTTCTCTCGAACTTTTTCCAAGACAAGTGGCAAACAATTGGTAGTGTACCATTCTGCAGAAACTGTTTTTTGATCCTCTAACACGATTGTTGCAAAATGACCTATCCTTCCAAAGAACGAGGCCACCATTTTTTTTCCCGCACTTCGATCTCTCTTCACTTTAGTTGGCAACTCCTCGAAAGGAAACACCCACTGAGCAGATTGTCTTTTGGTTTTAGGATCATAACAGTAAATCCAGCTTTCGTCACCTGTTAGTATGTCGAACACAGCATTTGAGTCACCTCCGTTAAATCTTTCAATCATTTTACGACACCAATCCACACGATGGAGTTTTTGAGCCTCAGTCAAATTATGAGGTATCCACCGGGCGCAAAGCTTCCTGACCGCTAAATGTTCGTGGAGGATTTTGTGCACTTGACTCATACCGATGCCTAAGCTTGTCCGAATCTGTTGATAGGTCACTCTTTTGTCAGGCTCTATCATACGCCGCACAACACAGATGTTATCTTCAGTCGTCGCCGTAGAAGGCCGTCCCTCACGTAAATCATCAGTGAGATTAGTGCGACCACGTTTAAACTCATTAAACCAGTTGTAAACAGTCGCACGAGATGGGGCTTCATCGTGAAAGGCCAATCGTAGTCTATCATAACTTTCTTGTTGACTTAAATGACATCGAAAGTCATAAAAAATCATTGCACGAAAATTTTCTCGTGTTTAAATTCATGATGACGTGACACAGACAATTTTCAATTTGCCGCCAAATCGTAAAACAAATGACAAATGAATGAAATATATACTCAGTAATATTGGCAAAGAGTTATATTTTCAAATTTTAGAATTATTTTTTTATTATATTGTTTATAAGTGGCCAGTTCTAAGAACTTTCAGTTTGACCCTCGTATGAGTATAATAGTCATCAATTTTAAATATGGAACGGCAAGGCTCAATTACGTTTAGTGTTGCCCAAATTCAGTCTTGGTCTTGCATTTTTGCAAGACCAAGACCAAGAACAAGACCGCGTATTTTTAGCAAGACCAAGACCAAGACTGACCATGCAAGACTTGAGCAAGAACAAGACTAATCCCGCAAGACTCTTGCGTCTTGCAGCTAGGACTTAGCGCTATTTCACGGAGTAGTTAGGAATAACAGTTCGGTGTATAATAACACTTCAGGCTTAAGGAAACATCTAATATCTTTCCACAAAAAGGAATCACAAATATTTCTTCCTGTTAAACCAAAATTAAGCGGAGATATCGCAAGCTTTTTCGTAACTGCTGGAAGAAGTGGACAGGTAAGAATAAATTTACTTATCTCACAATTACATAACACATATTAAGTATGTAATTATCGTGTTAAATATTTTTTATAAAGCACCCATATTTTCATTTGTTTTCATAATCGGCCTGTAACAACTAAGTACTTTATTTTGGTAAATTACAGTACAACTTTAGATTTAACAACAACAAACCTCCTCCTCCTAAACGCTCAAACCTAGTATGTTTTAAATAATAACACAAGATTTATTGTTTTATTTAAGTCGGAAAACAGTAGTGACAAGGTCCACACTTAGAAGGAAAGTCAAAGAGCGATTTGAAGAGCTCCAATTGAATCTCAAGGAACGACTTCAACAATTATCATCTAAAATGTCGTTTACCATTGATGGGTGGACGTCAATTGCTGGTAGGAGTTACTACGGGGTTACTATGCATTATATAGACAACGAATGGAAGTATCGATCTGTAGTTCTTGATTTTATACCATCACGCGGTCGACATACTGGGCAAGATATTGCAACGATTTTCCACGAATGTTTATTGAAATATGACATAATTGATAAAATATAAGGTATCACGGTCGACAACGCAACTGCAAATACTAAATTTATGTATGAACTAGGCAAACAGCTGCCACCACACTTTGATTCAGACAATCAACATTTCCGGTGCTTTGCTCACATTTTAAACCTTGGTGTACAAGATTTATTAAAGACCTTAGCATTACACTGTGAGACTGACACTAACGCGCAAGATCAGCAGTATGAAGACTATGCAGACGAAACTGAGGAAGATGAAGAATATGCACCAAATATTGCTAACTCGCGTACATCTGTAACAAAGTTACGCAGTATTTCCAGCAAAATAAAAAGAAGTGAAATAGTGAAGAAGAAGTTTCAGTCTGCTTGTGAAGCAGCTGGCGTGCCATCAAATCTGAATCCCATTCTTGACTGTCCAACGAGATGGAATTCCACACATGATATGATTGGATTTGGTTTAAAAGTGAGAGCGGGCATTAACATATTGTGCAGTTCTGTCACCGAATTGAATGATTTTCAAATCACAGCTAGTGAATGGCAAATACTCGAAAAAATACATAAGTTTCTAATAAACTTTAAACTTTTAATATACAAAACTTGGTGGAGAAAAATATGTTACATTACCGCTAGTCATTGTATCATTCAATCTCTTGCTCGATAAAATTGAATCCATGGTAAAACAGTTAGATGAGAAACCTAATCGATCTGAAGTGGATGAAAGGCTCATTCTGGCTTTCCAAGCAGCTCGAGACAAAATGCTTAAACATTATAAGAAGAGCAACTGGATTTATTGTACTTCTTTAATTTTAGACCCAAGGCTAAGGCTCAGACTTTTGACCTGACAATATGGGGGAAGCAACTTAAAACAGAAAGCCTGCGCAAGTTCAATGAACTTTATGAAGAATACTACAGTCTACACTCACTGAACAAATCTCTGGAATTACCAAGAAAAGAAAATAAGGTATGT